AGAGTCTCGGTACCAGGAGTTATTAGGTTAGTATATGAAATGGGTTTGGTGCTGTGAGTCTCCCTGTTTAAAACGAGTTAGCCAGCCCCTCCCACCTTCCTTTCCTCCTCTCTTGGGATGAGCAGATTGAGGCGAGGGCCCCAGAGACTACTTGAAGGGATCCTGGCACTCTGATGATTTTGTTTCCCAGCTTAATTGTAGAGCTTCCTTTCGCTCGCCACTGCTAGCCAGAGTGGCTCTGTGTCCTGCCTGCCCCTCCACCTCACATGCTTTAGGGACAAGATTGTCACAATGTGGTCTTGTGAATCAATTTTCTTTCTGTGCTGATGAAAGTGTAATTCACTCTTAATCAAGCAGCCTAGCTGCTGCAGGCTCCACGCAGAATACATTTAGCTACCCTCCCATCACTCTGGGAAATGGTCCCCAAAAGGACTTTTAGAGGAGAGCTAGGCATGGTGTGCCTGGTTTCCTGCAGGGGGCGCTCTTAGGAGCCATGTTAGAGGAGCCCTGGAATGCTGGCAGCCTTCCACAAGGGCTATTCACAGGTGCCTTCCTGGCTTGCTGTCTACAAGCCCTGGGGCCATTTCTGCAGAGCATCTTGTTGGGCTGGTTGTCCCAGCAGTGGGCAGGAGGCAGCTGGGTCTGCAGATTACATGCCTGGGTTAGGGAGAACCTGGGCTTGGGAGGAGCCAGCCTGCATTCCTTCATTCATTTATTCATTCATGCATTACAGTGCTGGAGATGGAACCAGGGTCTTGCACATGCTAATAAGCAAGTGCTGTACCTCTGAGCCAAATCCCCAGCCCCAAACCTCTTTTTTTTTTTGAGAGAGTCTCGCTATTACTTCTGACTGGCTTGAACTTGCCATCTCCTCCCTGGGCCTCTCAAGTGCTGGTGTTACAGGCATGCACCGCCACACCCAGCTTAGCCTCCTGTCTTTTTAGGGAGACAGATAGGTCTCTCAAGCCCAAACTTGTTTAGACTCAGTGGGTATGACTGTTTTCATCACATCACACACAGTTTATGGGGAGCAGAAGAAGGCCTGGCTCTGTCAAGTGGCTTCCTCACCTGCCCTTCCACAGCCTGGTGGTGTCACAAACAACTGGCCGTTTGATGGAGTGGTGGGTGGGAGGAAAAGGAGGAGCCAGGCTCCTCCCTGCAGGTGGGTCTGAGACCCATAAGATAAAAAAAACAAAGCCATATAGCTCTCTGCAGAGAAAGAAAAGGAAGTGGTCTCTTCGAATGGAATTGGATTAACAAAAGACCTGAACAGTCAAAGACCCGTTCAGTCAAAAGAGAACTGAATTCCTCCTGTATTATTCACGCGGCTGATTCTAATCAGATGTGAGGCGACAGCTGGGAGGTATCAGTGGGTCAGCCCAGTGCGTGGTGAGGAGGCTTAGCGTTCTTTTAGTCATTTTCAGGGAATGGGTAAGAACACTTGGGTTGGAGACTTTGAGCAAGGTCCGATTGCCAGGGCTCCCGTGGCTACCCTGGTCTGGATTCAGTGCGTGGCAGAGTGGTCACTTGGTCATTGGTCACATTCAGCAGATCTCTGCCCACTTGTCTGCAGAAGGATTCAAAAGAGGACAACCAGCTATCAGGTCCCAGAGTGATGCAGTTCTTACCTGGGAGGGCCTGGTTGGACGTCGTGCCCTGAGAATTTTGGCTTCACAGCTAAAGTGTGGAATCTTCCTCTTCCCAGATCACCTTCCAGGTGCATAGGGAGCTTGAACTCTATGTTCAAGGGGACTCACTTCTCCAGCAAGCAAGGCTGTTACACAGCCAAGAGACACGAACATTTTTCCTTAGGTTCTGGTGGAGGGTGAGACTTGCAGAGTGGGTTCAGTTCTCAGATCTGCGACATGGGACAAGGCAAGGGGCTTACAGGGATCATCTCCATGACACTTTCTGGCTTTGGCAAGCAGAGGTGCCTGTGCTGTGCAGAGAGTCATGTGACTAGCATGACGGGCTAAGCATTGATGTGGGCTCATGGGCCTTCAGGGTGAAGGAATCGTGGGGAAACCAGAAAGTTTGTTGTCCAGTTTTCACAAATGGAAAAACAAGACCCATGGAGACAGAATTTATCTTATGAATGGCTAGCTTTGTGCCCCATCTGAGCCCTTGTCTTTCCTCTTAAGTACTCTTCCTGCCTGTAGCTGTACTGTAGATGTGACGCAAGTGTTCTAGGCCAGGCCCTGCCTGTGTGGCAAAGGACCTGCAGATGAGGGAAGCCTGGCCACTGGAGTGCCCAGCACAGCACAGTTGGCAGAAGCAGGTGGCTAGGCCCTGAGGGAAGGGCTTCCCGAACTGTCTGGAAACTTCTCTCTTGGGGGCTCACAGTGCCCCAAGCTCCTGCTAAGGAAAGAAGCCCAAGGCTTCTCCCTGTAGACTCTTGTCTCGTGGCCTGCCTTCCCCTGCTCTGCAGCTCGAGCTGGCCCTCCAGTCCTGCTGGGAGGAGGGCATTTGACATCCACAGTGAAAGAGGATGCTGACAGAGGAGCAGGCAGAGGCCGGGGTGGCCACTGGAAGGGCTCAATAGTGAGGAGTGAGCATGTGTCATAAATTCCTCAGACTTCAGGATTCCTAACAGAATTAGAAGTGCCAGGGACTGTAAGGTGACAGTAAGGCTGTGGCAGCCAGGTGTCCTTGCACCCTCGGGGAGCAGCCCTTGCTGACCAGAGCAGCCAGTTCTCTCCATCTAGTGGATCTGACAGCCTCAGGGCCTTCTGGAAGACTAGTGCTGGCTCGCCTACATGCTCGGAATAACAGCTTTCCTCAGAGCCTTTTCTTCCTTGGGGCTGAGATCAGCTGAACCCTGCAGCACAGCGTGGGTGGGATGGAGAGCATCCCATCTCCATGCTGGAGTAACTGGAGTCTGGTGCTGCCAGAACCTCCCCTGGCATCTTGAGGGGACAGCCAGCAGATCCTTCAGGTAGAGGATCCAGGAATTCTTAGAGCCAGGAGCGTACATACAGGCAGGAGGCCCCCACAGCCTGGACTCCCTGCCTGAGGAAGTGGCCAGGCCTCTCGGGGCAGCAACTGCTCTTGCTCAGAGGCCAGCACAGCATGTGACCCTGCCTCTTCCTCCACCCTGTCCTAACAAGTAAGTCCTCTGTCCCCCTGGAAGGAAGGAGAGGAGCCAGAGCTGGGGGGAAGGAAGAAACATAATGCTGTGATTAGTAATAACAGCTGCTGAGTTGTCCGCACGCACCAAGCACACGGTGCGGAGCACTTCACGTGTCACCCTGCAAGAAGGGATTGCACCACCCCCTTCACATGGGGAACTGAGGCCAGCAGGATTAAGGGACCTGGCCAGGATCACTCAGCTGGTCCCTGGGTCAGATGGGCCTTGAGCAGACTGTGCCTGTGTCTGACTGGGAATGGCTGTTGTGTAGTCCTCTCCTCCTGGCCCCCTGTCCCCTGAGGACCCTTCTGAGGTCGTCTCAGAGTGGGGAAGAAACCTGGGCGAATTGCTGGTTGATTTGTCACAGAAGGCCTCTGGTTCTGAGTCTCCCTCTTTCCTAGTTACCATCCTCCCCATGTTGCAGGTGCACCTGCCAGCCCTTGTCTGATGGTTCCAAGGGCGGAGCCAGGCAAGCACGGAGCCCTTAAGGAGGTAGTTTGCTTTCGCAAAGAAAAAGTCCCTTCATTCCCATCAGAGCTAGGCTTCCAAAGGGCTTCTGGAATCGGTTCCACTGAAGAAAACAGCTCAGATGCCTCTCTGCATTCTGCTCGTTAGTTGGAAACTTCAAGGCCAAAAGATTTGGCAGGATTTAGAGTCGGCTCTCAAGCTGTCTCATCTCGAGCACAGTAATGCTGCTGCCTTTTGATGGTGAAGTGGTTGGTTTGAGCCTCCCTCCCTTGCCCTTTGTTGGTCACCGTAGTACTGAGAGCTCTGCAGACTTGAGACTGCCCGAGGTCCTGGCAAGGGCCAGATCACCTGGCCTGGCCCATGGTTAACTGCCAGAGGAAAGAGGCTCAGAGAGGCCAAGGATAGTCGCTGAGGCCACACAGCGAGATGGGAGCAGAGGACAGTCAGCTCCACGCATAGCTTGCCTTTCCACCGCATCTGCCTGCTTAGTTATCCTGGCCCACGTCCCATACACTCAGCAGCCTGGGTTTGTGTCCCTCCTCAGCAACAAGCACTCAGCAAATGTTCTGAGATATGAAGATAGACCTTGTGGGCTACCTGCCCACCCCACTCCAGGAAGCCCTGGAGCTGGAATCCATGGGGAGCCATGGTCTTGTTCCTAGGAGTCAGTTTTAGAGTGGGGAGCAGAGCAGCAGGAGGTACCTGTGACACAAACCATATGTCCAGGGCTGGGCCCTGATCTGCCTCCCCTCTTGCATCCTCCTACCCATTCCTTCTCGGGCAGTGTCCTACCTGGGAAGGCCAGATGTGCCACCCCGCCCACCCATTCTCCCTATTGGACCTGGGCCATATAGAGAGCCTGTTACCTCCCAGCTCCTAGGCCATTAGCGGGTCTGCTTTGAGGCCACCTGGGGAACCAGGAGCAGCAGGGACAAACTCTTCTCAGCTGACCCCATCCTGCCTCGCTTGAGACCAGACACCTTGCCTCAAGGTATGAGGACTAAGGTACCTGCCCTGCCATGCTTGGGGCCTCTGAGCCCAGAGAGGGTGAGCATCAGGGCTGGTGTTATCACAGAGGCGCATCTCACTGACTTATATAGGAAATGGGAGAATTTAGCAAAACATTGAGGGACCTCCCATCCTCTGTAAAGAGGTAATGAGGACATTCCTGCTGACATGCTTCTGCCTACCAGCCATCCACTGGCATGTCCTCCCTCATTCATTGCTCCACGTGAGAATTCTGGGGCAAATCTGGAATCTTAATTTGGGCTTGACCAGCCTCTTAACATGTATTTGAACATTTGGGTGACAGGCTTTCCTGTCACCCAAAGCCACCTTTGATGGGATCCTCAGGAAAGGACAGAAACCCAGGGCCCCTTTCACCTTCTTCTCTGCTCTCTTACAGCTCACTTTGCAGAGTGCCAAGTCCCGAGTGGCCTTCTTTGAAGAGCTCTAGCAGGTGACCCAGCCACCCCAGGATCTGCCACTTCTGCTCCCAGCACCAGCAGGATGGGCCTGACACCGTGGGAACCATCCACAGGGGTGGCTTGGGGGCTCCTGAGGTTGCTGTGCAACGTTCTCCAGCTAAGTGGGGAGTCCCAGCCCCTTTATGTGCAATTGCCTTTGAACTATGACCCTGTAGAGATTTCTCTCATGGCGTTCTGGTTCTTCTGACCTGCATTTGTAATTTTTTTGAGAAGTGTTTATCTTTGTCTATGTGAGATCCCATAATTCCTGCGTCCCAGGTACCCTGGGATGTGAGAGTTACTGCCCACTGCTGAGCTCCACACCTGGAGGGAGTACAGTACAGAGGCTCCTGGAGCTACCAAGACTGGTGCCACATCCCCTATCCCACTAGGGGTTGGGAGTCCCTCCCCTGCACAGTGAGGACCTGGGACATAGCGGAGAAGCACAGGCTGGCTGAGCCCAGGTCCCTGCCTGCCTGCTGCACGTCTGGCAGGGTGATGGGTCCTGAGGCCCTGTTGTAGCTGCCAGCTGATCGGGAATAGGCAGGGCAGCTGCAGCTGGGGAGAAATTTGAGTCAGAAGCTGTGGTGGAGGGCTGCTGGCCAGCTGGGTGAGGTGGCAGGTAGAGCCGTGCAGGGATCCAATGACACAGAGTGTATGCTGCCCTCCACCAGCTACCCCTGCCCAGATCTGAGAGGCAAGTGGGAACCACATGTGTCTTTCCATCCCTGTTCAGCCTTAACCTCCTGCTGTGGGATGCTCGGGAGCTCCCGGGTCATTTCTCATCAGTGCCTGGAGAATCAGCCATGATGGAGGCTCCATCGGCTCTTGCTGGCCCTGTCAACACCGAGCAACAGAACCCTGGTCCATTGCTGGTCTGACTCCGCCCTCCAGCCACATACCAGCAACCCTGTGCCTGGGCCTCATGTGGCCTTTGCCTTTGTCCCCTCCTTCACCCCAGGGCCTTTTACTTTACAGCCCCCAGTAGGGTTCCTTTTATCCTTTCCAGCCCAAGACCGATGCAGGTATCCAGTCAGCAGTCACAGCCTGACAAGCTTGGCCTCCATGCCATCCCCCCACCCTGGCTCATTCCACAGTCTGAGGCCACCTTCTGGCCCTTTCTTTTCTCCATAGCTGGAGTTCTGGCCAGCCGGGGCCCTTCAGGTCCTAACACTTGGGTTGTGAAGCAGAGAAGGTGATACATCTTAATCAGCAAAAAGACACATGTAAACTGAAGATGAATGGGCCTGGTGACCAGATAAACAGAGGCGGTGGGTCTCCAGTGGTTTTGGTTTTGAAAAACTTAGATGCTCGTGAGATCCTGCCTTGTTTTCACTGACAGCATCCTGGGCTGGCTCCCCACTTCTTAGGCCACTTTGTCCCTTTGAAGCCATCCCTGTGTGTCACCCCAGTGCCTTTGGGCATGACTCTAGTCTAGAACCTGAGTGAGTGTCTAAAAGAGAAAGACCTCAGGAGCTGAAGCCTCAGGCCTCTGCCGGGTCAGTTCTTGTGTGTGGCTCTGTCTGCTCAGGCCTAAAGCCCGGGCTGAGTTTCTGCCAGGACTTCCTTCCCTCCTATCTATAAATTTAATTCTTAACGGTGGCTGTGGGGCACCGGAGCAAGATGGAGGTTTATAAAAATGATGTCGGGTTTTGTTTTTTAATTTAACTGCTGTGTACATCTCTGAAGTCTGAGAGATGTTTCTGACCCGTGGTGGGACACCTGAGGCAGACCCCAGAGGGAGGCCGCAAAAACCCCTCAGGTAGGAGCACTGCAGCTCTTCCTTGAGGGAAAGAATCAGGGTCCCTTGAGGGGCCCCAGCCCCAGTAGGAGGAGGAAGAGCTGAGGTGGCTCTTCTCTCTGGTGAATGTTTCTAGTGAATGTTTTAAAATGGTGGAGCTTGTCACAGAAAGAAGTCTCTGGAGTCCAGGGGAGCAGGGCCCTGGTCATGGGTACTTCCGGTGGCCCTTGAATAGAGGCACCACAATTCTGAACCTGGCCACGAAGTCACCGTCCAGCTCAGGACACTGAGTCTGTGCTGTTGACCTGTAGCCAGTCGTACATCCTGAGTGGCCCCTCAGCCACAGCAGCGCTCTGACCCATGGTCACGGCTCAGTTATTCATGGGCCTGCCCGGCCATGCAGACAGCACTCCCTGGCATTATATAACACTTCCCGACTGACTAGGTTTTGTCATCTTGGGGACAGATTTTGCTCTCTTCCTCTCTTTTTCAAAAGTCCAGAGGCTGACAGCCAGCAATGGTGACTAGATGCTCCTCGCTGACAGAGCCTCGCAGCCTTGGGGGATTCAGCCGCTCCCAGTTGCCCTGAAGCCAAGCTGAGCCTATGGGCTTCCAGGGATGTCCATGGGTTTTCAAAGATGTCAAGGGGACACTTCTTCCTGTGGGGCCTGTCACGCCCAGGGCACGGAAGACTCTGTTCCCTGCTCTGGGGAATTGTGATTTAAGTGATTGTTTTAATAAAAATTCTAAGCCGTCATATGTCATGGGTTCTGGCTGAAACCATGGCGGGGGAGGCACATGTGTGGTTCTGTGAGGAGGGGCTGCCGTCGTCCTCACGACTGTGCAGACTTCACCTCTGGCCCTTGTCTCTGGGGAGAAGAGGGTCACCGCTCCTGTGCAGCCCTCTGACACCTTTGCCATGGCTGACACCAGATCGTGGAGAGGCCCTGCATGGGTACAGCATCTCCATTTCCTCTGAGACCCCTGCTGGTCCCTAAGTCCTGACCTGAGAACGAGGGCACTGGGCTCCTAGGGTTTCCCATTCTGGGCTCTGGGAAGCAGGGGACATGCAGATCCACCAGGACCCATGTGCTTTCTGTGGGGCAGATGACACTCATCTATCACATAACAATATTTATACTCAAGCTGGGAGCCACCATTGCAGAGCTAATTTGTTTGTTTCTGCTTTTTTTTTTTTTTTTAAATAACAAAAGTCTGTTTTTAAGACCAAAACTATGATAGGATAATTCCCAAAATACAGCAGCCTACAGTGAGGTGGCACCATATGGCTATCAGGACTTGTAAGGAACCTGCCCAGCACACCTGTGAGACCACGCTTCAAGATCCCGTCATTCAAGCCAACGAGGAAAGTAGCCACCAAAACAGTACAGCCAAACTAATCCCAGCACACAGGAGGCTCAGGTGGGAAGATCGAGAGTTCAAGGTCAGCCTGGGGCTACAAAGCAAGACCCTGTCTCCAAAAAAGAATCAGGCACCACCTACAGGACAGTGGCCTAGCCAGACTGATGCCTGTAATCCCAGCTACTTGGGAGGCTAAGATTGGGAAGATCTCGGTTCGAGGCCAGCCTGGGCAAATAGTTCTCAAGACCCCATCGCCAAAACAACCAGAGTAAAATGACTGCAGGTGTGGCTTAAGCAATACAGAGACACTTGCACTTGAAGCTCTGAATTCAAACCCCAGTCCCACCAGAAAAAAGTACATGGCCTAGTGACAAAGTGACATTATAGCTGTCTGTATGAGTACACCGTGATGTTCACACAACAATAAAATCACCTAAGGACGCATAAAAGTTTTAGTAATATTTCAGTAGCTTCATATATAGAGTTAGTAACTAACTAGACTTTTGATAAACAGTACAGAATTTCCTCGTCTCTCAAATGTAGATCGTTATTTTTAATAAATAGGAGTAGTCTGATTTCCTGTGTGGTCGAATCAGAAAACACACCTCTGTGCTGGTCATTTTAAGTTATCCAGGCAACATTTATACCCACCCAGTTTAAAAAGACAGCCTTACCCCCATCAAGGGTCCCCATCAATCAGCATTGAAATTAATAATAGTGCTTGTTATTTTGGTATCAAGATCATCTGAGTTTCTGTGGTGGTCTTGGTTGTGACAGTGCTGTAAACGCAAGGTCACTGGCTAGACCTCAGGACAGCTTTGTGGCCTCTGCAGCCTGGTTCCATGGGACACCCCCCCAGTCAGCCGCTTTGACCTCTCTGCCATCACTTCATCCTCTACCTTGGGCCTCACCCGAGTTCCCCAGGGCCTCCTGGCCCAGAAGCCTTTGCGTGGAGGATGGGATAAGAAGCCACCCACAGATAACAGAGAGCTGGCATCTGGGTCTGGAGCAAAGACACTGGGGAGAAAAGTGTTGCAACCGTATCTACTGCAATCCCTTGCCTGTCTAGGGAAGAGAAAACCGAGCCGTCTGCATGTCCCTCCATCCTCCTTGCAGACAGCCTGGGCCTCCTTTCCTCCAGCAGGAGAGGCCAATGGCTCCCCTCCCCGCAGTCTGGGGCTCCCTGGCAGCCTGTCATTACTGCATTATGGCAGGATCCCTGTGGCCGCAGTCCCAGCCCAGCCCTGGTAGGGAGGTTCCGGCAGCCCTCTGAGTGGTGACAGGGCAGCATGGGCAAATTACAGGGCCGTTTATCAGCATGGCAAGGCCTCTATCTGACTCAGAAAGGAACCCCATAGTGTCCTCGCCTGGTTTCCACTTGATGCCCATTTCTCATTGGAGTGGTGGCCCCAGAATAGCACCTGGTGTGTTGCCTCCGAGTGGAAATCAAGACACCTCCTGAGACACCGCAGTGGGCGCTGTGGGAGCCACAGGAGCCAGCCTGGCCTTCCCACACTGAGTTGCTGTGAGTTGCTGAGTGTGAGGCCCTGAACCTGGCCTCCTCCACCTTCCCCTTCTGGAAAGACAGTTGACAATGACCCGTCTGGGTGCCTGAGGGACGTTGCCAGGATAACATGAAGAACAGCAGCAAAAAGTACTCTGACTTCTAAGAAGAAAGGGGGGGATGTGGATATTTAGTGTTATGACTGTTACTTACAATTAAGAATAGACACTTTTCTTTCCCATGAGCCACAAGTGAACTGGGAGAACCATCTGGCCAGGGGGAGGGTCTCGGAACCCTCCCTGATTCAGAAGTTCGGCCACTTAACCAACTCAGTCCAGCTGGGGCAAGTTGCCTCACCTTGGCTTTAGGGACTCAGTTTCTTTGTCTGTAAAATGGGACTTTTAGAGGGTTTGATGGGGATTTATGATGCCCCAAAAACTCTAACCGCAAGGCCTAGATGCATGTCACCACTCACTCAAGGCTGTGGCTTGAGTGAATACTTCCTTGTGGGGTCAAGGGCGAGAAGAAGCAGAGAAAAGAGCCAAGGTGACCCAAAGGATGTCACAGCTCCGAGGGACCAGGCTTATCCACTGCCCCGATCATGGGCCCCATCCCGCCACCTGCACCCAGAATTTAATGACCCTGCATGTGGCCTGTTTGTCCTCACTGTTTGCCCAGTGCCAGCTGCAAAGCCCAGGAGATGATAGATAACCTGGACAGGAAGGATGTTCCTGTTTTTGTCACATTAATACCCCTGCTCAGGTCAATAATTTACTGAAGACTCAGGATGGAGAGGAGCTGGGTGGGTTGCACTTGGCTCTGCACACGGGGCTCACAGGCACCTGGGCTGTAAAACCCTAACTACAGGCACCAGAGAGGTACGGCAGTGACACAGTTTTCTCTTATCAGGCCTAAGGAAGAAGTCCTAGTGGAGCTTTGCCCATTTCCAATATAAATAATGTAATTCCCCCGCCTGCCTGCCTGGGGAGGAGGGGGCAGCCTTTGATCTGAAGGAATTAAGTCAGTAAACAAAAGCAAAGAAGGTTGCGGAGGTGTTGTGGCAGGCACCTGCTGTGCCACTTATCCTGAGAGACCGGAGTTAAATTCTGATCCACTGATGGGGAGAGCCCAGCCGGGGCCTCCCCAAGTCTCCCTTTATCCCCAGTTGACCCTGGGGGCCCATGGCACAAACCTGCGGCCAGCCATGCTGCACCTGGTTCCCCCTTTCCTTACCTGGCTCCATGTGGTTTTCAGGGTAGGGAATTTGGCCCGGATGTGCGCAGCTTAGCCCCAGATCCCCAGGTTGGAGGGGGTCCCCACTCTGGGAGGGAAGACTCCATGACTGGCAGAGGAACCTGACTGTCTGTCTAGCCCAAGAGCTGGCTGCAGGGATTTCTGTTCCCTCCATCTTTCTGCTTCCTCTGTGTGGCTTTGAGTAAGTCCTTTTCCTCTCTGGTCATCAGTGCCTTTGTCGTAGAAGGTCAAGTTTGCACAAGAACTCTGAGTTCCAACTCCATAGGCTGGTTCTCCCAGGCCCTGTTAAATCGGTGCTACCCTCTGGGGACCCAAAAGAGGATGACTGGCCAGGATCCTACAGGGCCAGGAGCTGGACTAGACCCAGGTGCCATCCAGGGATAGCCAGTCTGGGCCTGGGTTGGTCACCCCCTTGCCCTGTTCTTTTTCCTGGCCCCATTCTCTTCTGGTACAAATTGGGTCAGGGACTGACCAAATTGTGCCAGGCTCTGGCTTAATGGAAGGAACCCCAGGCCCCCTCCTAGATAGTGAGTCCCAGCAACTGTCAGCCTGGGCTGAATGGGATGACATGAGTGCAGCTTCAGCCAGGCCTGCTGTGACAGTTGCTCTGCCCTGAAACCCACAGGGGACTTCCCTTCTTTGCAGACACCCCATCTCCTCCCACCCCCAAACTCCCAGCCTGAGATCCTGAGTTCCTGAGGCTGAATCTATTAAGTACTTCATATTAGCCATCGGAGGGGGAAACAAGCCTCTTTCATCTTAACCGAGCGAATTTGCATTAACACCTGGGGAGTTCCGTTTGCATTGAGAAAGCACGTTGCTATTCTGAGCTGCACACTCTGCGGAGTTAGTCACAGCATTCTATTCTTTTATTAATATGGCTTTTCTCTCCTCTCTCCTCTTTTCCCATGGAAGAGAGAGAGCAGCTGGGGATGCCAGGCCTCCCTGCTCTACTTAGGAAAGTCCCCGGGGAACCAACAAGAAGGGGAGCAGCTCCCAGGTGGAGCAGGTGTCTTCCTAGAGAAGGTGGGCTTGTGAGTTGCCTCCCTTGCAGGGAGCCCGCCAGGCTCCTGGGGGAGCCCCCTGCAAGCCCCGCTGTAGCCAGTACGCACTGGGTGAGGGTCCAGCCCTCAGAGAGAACACTGTGTAGGAAAGGGAAGGGGCAGGGATACCAGGAGGTCAGAGCTGTGGATAACCCACGCATGGGGCCCACTAGGCTGAGGACCCCCGGTGAGGTCTCCGTGTGGAAGTCACAGCGCTCTAGGAGGCCCTGGCTCTTACTGAGCCATGTCTGCCTTGAGGGTACAGCTCTTAGACCCCATGTCGGACGCCCTCGTGTCCTATGTAGACAGGAATCCAACCATGCTAATTAGGGTAAACCCAGGTGCCCAGGAAATGCTGGAACTTTGGTTTGTAAGTCTCAACCTGAGGCTGGAATTCCAGAAGGAAAGAAAGGGGGTGAGGAGTACAGTGAAGAGCGAACACCTCCGCTCAGCCCCTTCCTAGGTGGGCTGTCTGTAGCTTCCAAGTCTTTAGGGAGCCCGGACTCCCTACTTCTGGTGCCCAGTGCAGAATGAACCACTGAGCCATTGAAAATTCACACCCCAGAGTCCCCTCCCTCCTTCCATCCCAGGAGATGATGTGCTCAGGCCAGGGCGAGGAGGCCGGCAGAGGAGGGCTTGGCTTGGCCTCTCAGCCTTCTGTCCCTCTCTCCATCGGAGTCACTTCAGAACCCACCAGTGGGTCATCCTGGGGTTGAATGAGATGATGGAAACTGAGTTCTGAGCCAGCGCCTGGCACAGCAAGAGTTTATTAAAGGAGCCTGCCGCTGGGTGGTTATAGCTACTTACGATTTAGCTTGTCCCAGATCAGTTATCAAAGGTGACAGCTTGGGGCAGGAGGTCTCCCACACAGCTCTGCTCCGGCTCACAGGCCTGGGGCAGGTGTGGGCAGCTGGGGCTTTGCTGGGGCCACCCTTCCAGCCCCCAGCACTCAGGCTATTGTGGTTCAGAGCAGGATGGGGATGAG